AAATGAGCCATAGTCTAAATTCCTAGTATTCCCCTTAATGCCCCCTGTAGTAATCCCATATATAGTCCCTAATATACTCCCCCCTTAAGGAGTTGAGACTACAGCTCAAATGCGGAGGCCAGGGGATGTTACCGAAATTGACTTGACAGAGGTCGTCTGGATGATTGAAAACGCAGCTTGGGCCCCTGAACTCTCCGCACCCTTTGCTCCCTGGCAGAGGTGTACTACAGGGGCCTAAATAAGTATCAATATCATTTTGGGGTCCATTTGAGGTACCGCAGACCAAAAATTATACAAGGAAATTATTTAGGCCCCTAGATTATTATTCGCCGTGCCTGGTAGCCCCAACTCCAGGAAACCTCACCCTCCAACCTCGTATCAAAGACTGCACAGTTTTCAGAGGCAGTTTTGAAAGCTGGGGGCTGAGGAGGGCCTAGTAGAAACTGTAGTCCCCTTGGACCTAAAATGAAATCATAATTTCTTTAGGGTTATACTGTACCCAAATGAGAAATAATTCCTAGGGAGACTACAGGAAACTTTGCGACCGAGTTGGATCTGTACCTGGCAGCTCTGGTGCGGAACGCACGCATGACAAACTGACGGAATTCGAGTTCTGCTTATCCCTAGAGCTCCTTGTGAAAAGCTGGGATATGGTTTAGGGTTTAGGGTCCAGAAAAATTGAAACTACTATTCGGGGTTCATAGGGTTTAGGGATACAACCCCCACAATTGAGAATCAAACGGAGAAGAAGATGGGAAATGAAATGGACATTGGGGATGAAAACGGTCTACATCTTCAAGATATCTGAAAGGCATCAAGGTTAATTTGACGAACTCGTCAAGCGTTCCAGGACAGCACCGGAAGATTTCTTCATCCTATGCGCAGCGTCTGGGAGCCAATTCTTTCCGAAGCTCTGGGTGATAGGATGCTTCGATATAGTACTACATATAGCTGTATATAGTGGTATACAATAGATAATAAAAACATACATCATAGCGACAGTACTGATTGTGCTCACGCTGTTGCTTTCAGCTGCTGCAGATTCCCTATCATCTTGACTGCTTGACTCCCAGGACGCCATTGGATTCAACATGCATGTGGTCTCTGCTTTGCACTTTGCAAGCTTGGTGAAATCCTTCAGCTACATGCTGCCATCCTTCTGCAAGCATTTGATGAAGATACATCATACAAAGGCTAAAGATGAGTTCTGTTGCAAAATGGTCAGCACCACCGGCACTGACCAGCAGCAACAGCAACCGCAGCCACATCTTCAGGACAACAGCTGTGAATCTGTGAACGCGGATTTAGCAGCATTTTGCACGGCCGAGTGAAAGCTGACTTAGACTAAGCTTTGTCTGCATTCACAATGGGGCGATTGATGAAGTTGTGCAGCCGCTCCCAGTAGGCTGGGCCAGCAAGGAGATACGTGTTCATGTGCTCTCCCCTGGCAGGGCTGCGAGTTGCAAAGTATGCACGGTCAACATCCAGTGAACTCAACATGTAGCACGATGTCTGACTGCCCTGTCTATCACACAAGCTGAAACCACCCTAAACCCTAAACCCTGAAAACCAACTGAAACCACCCTACCTTGCAAAGCTGTGAAACCACGTGTCCATGGTTGCACTGTGCGTTTTGGCAGCGTGGCACAGATCCGACATGCAGGACGGTGGTACCACCTCCAGGGATGCAGCACCTTTCTTGCAAGGAGCTTGGGGACAAAGGGTTGGGATACTGGAAAAGAAAATGGAAACTACTATAGTATATTGGGGTTATATGGGGATAATGGAAAATAAAATGGAAACTACTATAATATTGGGGGTTATATAGAGGGTTTAAGGTTTAGGATTTAGGGTGCAAGGAGCTTGGGAACAAAGATGCTTCCAAGAGAACCCACTCGCCAAATGTTCGCTAGCTGAGGAGTTTGCAGTGCACAATATACAAGAAGCCCTTTATCGCCTCAACAGGCTACATCACCGCCGCGTGGCGGGCATGCAGCAAATTTCCATAGACAAGCAGCCGAGACTGAGAAATCTTCTTCCAGAATCACCGTGGATAAGAACGCTCTATTCATGCAACACTTCTTGAGCTCAATTTCACAAACTCTGAAAACCTCGCATCCGAACACAACACAGCCCACCACCAGCCTGGTCAAGGGCCCCGGAGAGGAAGCAAAGACCCAAGCGGTTCTTAGGCCTCCAAGTAGGATTCTGTAGGGTCACATAGGGTTATTTAATATAGGAATCGTGGAGAAGAAAATGGAAACTACCACATTATAATCGGGTTGCAGAACTGTAGTCTGCACATTCCCAACAAATCCACGTGTTCAACATACTTCAGGACAGGCAGCCTGACAATGTCTAGACCGTGAAGTTACTTCTTTCTTCTTCGCCCCAAAGCTCCTTCAGGGCCCCATAAGGTTTCCTATACGACCCCAGTAAACAGTACTTTAAAGGGTATTGTGAACCTCTGTGACCCACCCAAAACCTGATGTGTGAAATTACCAAATAGAAAAAAAAAAGGCAACTCTGCCCCATACTTTACCCTGCCCCTCAGCCTAAAAATCCGTGCGTTCTTCCTTGGGCTGCTTTGTGCTGCAGGCCTCTCCGGCAAGTCAGCCAACCCAGCACCAATCCTTGCATGTCTGCGCTTGCACGAACGACACGGCATGAACTTTCACCATATGCTTTAGCCAGAAGAAACCTGTTTGAGCTAATGTCTTTGACTGGGTTCCAAGCGCTGAGACCAGAAACAGGATGCGACCATCTAAGCAATAAAACGAAGGATGGTTCAATCAGGCATGTTTGACTTCCTCTAAACCTTGTTTCCCAGGATAGGGAGACCCCACAAAGAGGTACCCAGAATTTGGGGAAACTCCCATCTACTTAAAGGCAGCCAAAGTGACCCTAAACCCTAAATCGTGAATCCTAAACCCTAAACCGTGAACCCTGAACCCCCAACCCTTAACCGCAAAGTGGCCAGTTGAGCCAGTCTCTGCTACGCCATTCATCCAGCAGCAAGGGCCAGGAGAGTAGGTTTGCAGGCAGCCACCTGCCAAACAGAAGTGGGGGTTTCCCAAAATTAGAGGGTACCGCGTACCCTGTAAATGGGAGTTATAGGGGTTATTTAGGGTTTAGGGTTTAGGCTTTCCCAAAATTAGGGGTACCTTGGGTTATACAGGGTTATATAGGGGTATAGGGCCCATAATGGAAAATCAAATGGAAAAGAACATGGAAAATGACATGGAAACTGGAGTTATATAGGGGTTTATACGGATTAGGGTCTCCCACAATTAGGGGTACCTTTTTGGGGGTCCCTATACTAAGGACTCTGGTGTTTTGGGGCCTATATTGGGGTCCCCCTATTTGGGGAAACTATCCAGTTTCAAACCATCTCATAAACTCACTATTAGCACCCATAGCCTCTGAAGTATGCTCGGATTGGGGCCCTGTAAAAGTTGGTTATGGCTTTATAGGGGGTATGCCAGGATTAGGGGTAATGAAGTTTTCCCTAAACCCTAAACCCTAAACCCTTACGAAATATGTTCGAGCCGGCTCGTGTGACACTATTCAGGTTGGTGGGGCTGACTGCTAAGACCAGAAAGGCGCAGGCTAGATGCAACTTTACGGTTACTACTACTATGACTACTACTATTACACTAGTACTAGTACTATTACCATTATACACTAGTACTAGTACTATTACTACGTGCATGGGCCCGAGGCAAACGTCAGAAGACGGATTCAGGAATGGCACGTCAAACGCCATTACGACGCGCAGCTTGAAGATTGCAAATTTACCTTGCAATCTCTGGTCCCTGCTGATCCCTAGGCCGCCAGTCCTCAACATTTGAAACTATGTCGTCATCCTTCCAGCTCTCCGCCCCAAGCCCTCATGCTTTATGCGCTTTAGCTTTGACCTTTGACACTGACACTCTGCCTCAACGGAGGCAGCAGGTGTCGGGCCACCGCTGCAATAGAGGAGGGGGCGTTTTCGAGAATAAGTCCTCTGGCGTAAGTTGACGGCTTGGATATTCACGCGAGGTTCTTCCACTGCTGTTTAACGTGTTTCCGATCCTGGGCCTTCTAGCCGGATCCTCGGGCTTTAGATGGATTCCCAAATTTCAGTACCAAACCTGCGGACGATCCCTTTTTTAAGCCATGTGCCTACCTTTTGAAGAAATGCAGCTTGGTGACCCAAGCTACTCAACAAGGGTTTGCGTTGAGCTCAGCAACTTGCTAAGTTAATAAATAACTGCACGCAACAAAAGTCTGGGCAAGTGCGCCGCATCCGTATTGTGCAAAACCCTGAACTATGGGTCCAGCATTTACTTGCTAATTACCTTTGTTCGCAAAGAACTGCTGCCGCAAGACTTTGCAGATCACATAATTGCCACTGTGCGTACCCTGGCTAGCAAGGAACAAAGAAGTAGTTCTCATAGTCCTACACATAACCCCCAATAGAAGAATGCTCTTTTCAATCCCTGCATACCCTGCTAACCAGTGGTAACAAGAGGCTTCCAAAAAAGCAGTCCTGCTGGCAAAGGCATCGCTGGCGCTTGCACACATCCTGTCGAAGGTTGGATGCAAAAAGCCTGAAGAACTACATGGGGTTTCCAGTCCCGATGATTAGGATTATAATACCTTCCGACAACCTTCTGCAAAGCATTTGGTTCTTCGTAAAAAACTCCATCCCAAACTGCAGACAGACATCCAAAACTCTTCCGCAAGAACCCATGGAAATTCTACAACCCGACAAATGATTTCCACATCCCAGCCTCAAACCTCATCTCTGTAGTCTCCTTAGACCTATAATAATGATAATTTTAATACTTCCTCAAGGTTATACTATATTAAAAACTAAGAAGTAATTTCCATTTTCTTTTCCATGATCCCTATATAAACCCAATATACTATAGTAGTTTCCATTTTCTTTTGTAGATCTGCAGCCCAACCTCGCATGTGGAAACTTGCACAGCACCCCAACACTGGCCCGCAAAGGCCTCGCGGCTGGCGTAGCTCTGCGGGCGCCCCGAGCAAGTGCGCCAGTAGGCGCACCTTGAGGAGCTTGGCTTAGGGTTTAGGGTTCAGGGTTTAGGTTTTGGGGGTTAGGTCTTAGGGTTTAGGTCTTAGGGTTTAGGGTTCAGGTCTTGAGAGTTCGGGCTTTCAAGGTCACAGGGTTTGGGATAGGGGAAGTTGATAGCAGCAGCTTGTTCAATCCTTAGGGCCATGAAAACAGGTGGCAGTCCCCGCACCTGAAGACCTACAAGCAAAACTAGATTTGCCCTTTGCGCTGCCAGGCACCGAAACGCAGCCACCCAGGGAGCGGCCGAAGATGAAAATGCGAGAGGGATCCACCACAGAGTTCTCCTTAGCACTTCTAAGATTCAAACATAGTAGTTTCCATTTCCTTTTACATTATCCCTATATAACCCTATATAACTATACCCTAGTATAGTGTGATAGTCTTCTAAGATTCCAATGTAGAGATCCCATGACTTCTCAGCAAGGCACGAGATGAGCTGGTGGGCTCCATCTCTGAACTGTAGTTAGAATGTGAAAAGAAAGTGGAAACTATTATGCTATACTAGGGTATGATACAGGGATAAATAGGGAAAATGAACTATTATACTATACTAGGGTATGATATGAGGTTGCATAGGGATAATGGAAAGGAAAAATGGAAACTACTATTTAGGGTTTGGGTTTCCTCCCTGCCCCTCGGTCCTGTCCCCAAACGGCCTTGGCGACTCAGACCGTATTCGTCTCCCCCAATACATGGGGTTTCCCAAAATTAGGGGGTACTCTTTAAATAGGAGTTATAGGGGTTATATAAGGTTTAGGGTTTAGGATTTAGGGTTTAGGGTTTAGGGGTTTCCCAAAATCCTGGGTACCTTGGGTTATATAGGGTTATGTAGGAGTATGGGGCCCAATAATGGAAAATCAAATGGAAAAGAAATTGGAAAGTGAAATGGAAACGGGGATTATATACGGGTTTATAGAGATTAGGGTTTCCCAAAATTAAGGATAACATTTTGGGGGTGCCTATAATAAGGACTCCAATATTTTGGGGCCGATATTGTTGTCCCTCTATTTTGGGAAACTAGCACATTCCTTGGAAGGAAACCCTGAAGAAGCACAGCCAGCTTCAACAATCCAAATGGTAGTTTCCCCCCAAATAGGGGCATCCCCATAGAGACCCCAACACACTACAATCCATGGAGACCTCCAAACAAGGCACCCCTAATTGCGGGAAATCCTAAATCCTAACCCCTATAACCCCCGGTTAAAGGGACCCTCAATTTCGGGAAACCCTCAAATTCTTTCAAAGCACCGAGGCGGCGTACGTCACCAGCCACTCGTAAGCAGCTGCAGCGTCTTCCACGAAGGCAGTCTCGGAGAAGCCACCTGGCGAGTACGCCCTCAGGGTTTGGGGGCTTAAGGGTTTAGGGTCCTCCTAGTCTGAGATGTTATGAACAACCTGCACAGCAGCAAGGCTCTCTTCGGTAGACTGTTCGCAAAGGCTGCTGTGGATTCATCACCTTTAAACACATGCCCCAAAGAAGTATGCAGAAACCCACAAGCCCCATCTCTGCCCGTGCTTGTGACCGACAGCGTCAATCCCATGACTTCCGGCACCTCCGTTCTCCGAGCGTCCATAGCCCCGGTACTCCATAGCCAGTACGACAACCTTGGAGCGCAGAGATTCAGAGAAGCATGAGCCCCGATTTCTCAAAATGCTTGCAGAATGAGCTCCATAGGGTCCTTGATCAACGTCACAAGTCTCTATCTTTGTCTGATGCTAGCAGGAGCTGCCAAAAACAGTTCAGGCTATCCCCGCACGGGTCAGGCTGCGACGCCCAGTTGCATTCGTTCTGATCCCCTATTCTCGAGGTATGTGGATGTAACCTGCAGCCCCTTCATCACAAGATCTAGGTTTGCATGGGAGGTATCCCACCATACCCGTCAAAACCAAAAAATACGAAGAAAAGAATACACGAAATATTAATACACTACCACCATAAGTACCCTGTCTCGGCATTGGGGTCTAGGCATTTGTGTGAATTTGGCCTAGCGGCATCTAGGTTCTTGCAGCAGCGCTTGAAGAAGTCCAGCCGCTGAGCAATATCTCCTGCTCCCATCTTACTGGTTCTTAGTAGGGAATAGAGGAAGATTATCCCTACATAATACCTATATAACATATTCCCTTATTCCCTAAACCTAAACCCTGTATAGTATATTCCCTTATTCACTACTAGCAACCAGTAAGCCGGGGGCTTCTTTTGAAAACGTTCGCATGCGCTAGCAGCCTCCCGAATACTCGACACCCACACCAAGACGCACTGAAAGGATATCCCTCAGAACCCTAAGCCCTAAACTCTAAAGCCTTCTGCCTAAGCCCTGAAGCCTAAACCCCAAACCCCTAAAGCCTAAACCCCAAACCCTAAAGCCTAAACCCCAAACCCTAAACCCTAAAGCCTTATGAGGCTTAAACATCTGAAGCCCGAAGCCCTTAACCTGCCTGCGTTGGAGTGGAAGAAAAGCACCGCAGGTCGCCTCCTCTCTTCCTGCTTCCTTGAAATTCTTGGATTTAGGGAGTTTAGGGTTCAGGGTTTAGGGCTTGGGGCTTAGGCATTAGGGTTTAGGGCTGGTTTTCGAGTTTAGGGCTGAAGGTTGAGACCCTTTTCAGGACAGTTACTGGAATGAACATAGTCTTGGGCTTGCAAATAGTTTGTTCAAAAAATTGTGATGTGGGTGCCTGTTCTCACACAACGGCGGCCTAAGCCATTTTGGTGCATGACCTATCGTCATTCTCTTGGCGGGCCTGCAACATACTATTGGCGAGAGTATTGACTATGGTGACCATGTACTCCTGAGGGGCCGTCTCCCTCTAAGCTGGCAACAGGACTATATAGAATAGTAGTTTCCAACTTCTGTTCCATTAATTATCCCTATATGACCCCAATATATATCGTACTACTATATTCATTTCCATTTTCTTTTCCATTATTACTGACCTACTGTTGTCACAATCCTGTTGTTGATTCAATCTCAACTCAAGGGCCACCAATTCGAGCAGAATCCAGCGGACTAGGGGGAAGCTCGGGCAAGATAAGCTTTGAGAGTGGCATGTGTGAAGAACATGGTAGGGGTTCCAGTTGCCAAGTTAACGTTGCACATTCCTCAATTTGTAGCTATCGCAGTGGCTGCAGCACCAAGTTGAGACAGTCGTCCCCACCAATTGGGATTTGAGCATCAGAAACCACATGCACTTTTGCTAGTTGACAGCTGTGACGGGGTGGAGTCTGCATGTTTGTGCAACAAGGACCTCTTCTTATGAGTTGTTTGTAGGACATATGGCAGTGTAATTCCTGTATACTCCCTATATAATGTATTCCATTATTCCCTACTACCCACCAGTAAGTCTTTCTGTCATGCGGGGTCTGAGGAGGTCTAGGAAAGCTCACATTACACCCGAATGTCTCCAAAATGAGCTTGCACTCTTGATTTCGCGTCCACGTCCGCAAAGAAAACATTGAAATGCCATCCTCCAAATCCCACACCAAGCTCCAACATAAGCTTAATCTTGAGCCCTCCCTTGACTAGCAAAGTTGAAGGCGCTGCATTGCCAGCAGCCAGGCATGCAGCTTCGTTCCATCCCTGAGCACAGGGCTTGCTTCAAGGGAGTTCAGTTTCAAGTTGTCAGTTGCTAAATTGTGTCTTGCGCATAAGCGGCGAGGGTCGACTTCAATTTGCCTCGGTGCAGCGTGAGAGCCTTCCTCGCCTCTTGATGCCTTCTTTTATGGATTGTTGCCAGCTGTAAGCAGACCTGAAGCCAAACAGGGCCTCATTTCTTTCTAGCACTCATACAACGACTTCGGCACAATGGACAGGAAAAAGTATTATAGTGGAAGTGAGCAAGCTCTAGATATCCAGATTTCCTTGAAGAGGGGTGTCCATGTTGGATGCCACTTCACGAGTCCTGACAGTCCGCAAGCACTTCACTTGGACGCCTCAGAGCAAGGGGCCCAGTCCCTGCTGTTCTTCTGTCTCCTCTCCTGCCCAGACCCCCTAAAGGATCCAAAGGAACCCCCCAAAAATGAACCCATTATTACATTGGGGCAGCTATAGGATTATTAGGGGGTTCCATTTTTTGGATACTTTAGGGGGTCTGGGTGTGTGAGAATGTAAAAACAATGTCCCGCTAGCAGGACCATATTCGCAGCGGCACACATGACCGCTAAAATTTCAACAGGAAGTTCGGTAAACCCCAAAACCCTAAACCCTCAATCCATATAACCCTAAACCCTAAACACATATAACCCTCAACCCATATGACCCTAAACCCTAAACTCTTGTAACCCTAAACCAAACCCGGTAAGCGCCATGAAAGTTTCCATTTTCTTTTCCACTATCCCTATATAACCCCAATATGTTCCCTTATTCCCTACTATAACCCCACTATAGACCCTATTATAATTTAGTAGTTTCCATTTTCACACAACCCCAGCCGGGCCTGGAACGGATGAAGTAGCTCTCATACTGCAGGCCCCAAGACGACGGTGTTGCGCTGGCCACGCGTGGTCTGCAAGCAACTGGACAGAGGTACTGTCGGGGCCTAGATAATTGCAATATCATCTTGGAGGTCTATTGGAGATCCCCTATAGTTATACAAGGTCTGTGTATTCCGGCTTCTGCACTATGTAGTTTTGACATGTAGTTGGTTGCCTCACACGAGACAACTGAGCGCATCTCATAGAAACTTCCCGTCAAATTCTGCTACAGTGCTCTGCGCAGGTTGTGGTCTGGCTATATAACCTCTATATAACAAATGATGGTAGTTTCCATGTTCTTTTCCGTTGTCCCTATATAACCCCAATATATACTTTAGTTGTTTCCATTTTCTCTTCCACTATCCCTATATAACCCCAATATATTCCCTTATTCCCTAGTGGTGGAGCCTAGTCTGCCTGCCTTCCACACATTCACCTTTTGGACTTTGAGTAATGCCATGAATTCCTTTCGAACAGTTGCAAAACCATTCACCCAAAGTCCTGGGAAAAATAGTGGAAAGAAAAATGGAAACAACTAAAGTATATTGGGGTTAAATAGGGATAGTGGAAAAGAAAATGGAAATAACTAAAGTATATTGGGGTTAAATAGGGTAGTTGAAAAGAAAATGGAAACAACTAAAGTATATTGGGGTTAAATAGGGATAGTGGAAAAGAAAATGGAAACAACTAAAGTATATTGGGGTTAAGTAGGGATAATGGAAAAGAAAATGGAAACAACTAAAGTATATTCGGGGTTATATAGGGATAGTGGAAAAGAAAATGGAAACAACTAAAGTATATTGGGGGCTAAATAGGGATAGTGGAAAAGAAAA